CCCTGACGAGTGAAGAGCCTCTATTTAATCAAGCATGGTCTTTTCCCAACCTAAATGACTCAATGCTTCCTTGACACTTTTAGGGACAGAAGCAAAAGAGAGCCGTGTAATAAAGGCACACTATGATGGTGACAAATGATTGTATGAGAGGAAGTCATAAATAGGATAAGGATTGTGAGTGGATCTTTTACCAATTCTGCTGGCAATGGGAAGATCGTTAGTTATCCCTTGGGCCGACTCTTGGGGTGACGATGGCTCGACTTGGATTAATATCTTCTTATTTTGTTGGATGATGGTACGACTTACTCGAACGATGTCGATGATGATAGGTATAAGGGAACTCAATAATACAGTTCTCTAGAATGTCACTGACAGTTCCTTTTTCAGGGATGGCCAGGGGTGTATGTTCAAGTTCAGGAAAGTTTGGGAGAAACAGAACAAGTTCATGTTCTTTGAAAGGCTGCATAAGGACAATTTCTATAGAGTCATCAGCAAAGTTTGATTCCTCAAGGGAAGAACAATATAATGAGAGAAATGTGGAGTAGGCTTAAAGAAAGTGACATCAAAAGATGTCTATATACGCATTGATCTAGGACAGTAACATTGAAAGCCCTTTTGAAGACGAGATTATCCCAAGAAGACACACTAAATAGCTTTAGGAGAGATTTTATCCCTTCCCGGAGTGTTATCATGAACAAAGCAAGTGCACCCAAACACCTTTAAAGGTAATTTGTGCAAAGGCTCATCATGGAGGAAAACATTTATATGAGTCTCTCCTTGTATTATATCAGAAGGCATGCGGTTTACGAGATAACAAGAGTGAAGAATGGCTTCCCCCCAAAGGTATTTAGGTACCTTGTAACTAATAAGCACGGTTCAGGCAGTTTCCACAAGATGTCAATTCTTCTGTTCAATCACTCCATTTTGTTGAGGAGTGTCTGGACAGGAAGATTCATGAAGGGCCCCTTGACTGTACATAAATTTAGAGAAGGATTCAGAAAAATACTCCTTGGCATTGTCACTTCGAATAGTTTTTATCACCACCCTAAATTGAGTTTTTATTTCATTTACAAATTATTGAAATATATTGAAAATTTTAGACCAATCTTTCATCAAATAGATCCAAGTACAACGAGAAAAGTCATCAATAAATGTAACAAAGTATTGAAATCCAAAGATAGACTTAACTCGACTCGGTCCCCACACATTAGTATGAATTAGAGAAAAGGTAACAATTGCTCGTTTATTTATCCTATTTTTGTAGAAAACTTTAGATTGTTTTCCTACTTGACATGACTGACACTCGGTTGATGAAACATTATACATAACAGGAACAAGTTGACAAAGCTTACTAAGGCTTGGATGATCAAATCGACTATGAAGAAACAATGGTGTGGTATTCGTGGCAGAGCAAACAATATTGGTGTTGGCTAGATGATATAACCCTTGTGATTCATATCATGTGCCAATCGTCTTCCTCAATTGTTTGTCCTGCACAGTCACAAAGTTAGTGGAAAATATAATATCACAATTAAGATGTGAAATGAGTTTATGGACAAAGATCAAGTTGAAGGGGCACTTAGGAATATACAATACAGAGGATAATAAGAGAGATGTGAGTGGAGAGGCATTTCCAATTCCTATAGCTTTACCTATTGACCCATAACCAAAGGTAACAATTGGAAGAGAATTGGAAAAAGGCAAACATGTAAAAAGTGAAGGATTACCATAAATGTGACCGGTAGCACCTGAGTCAAAAATCCAAACAGGTTTGGCATTAGCTATGATGAAGCTTCCACTCATTACTGCATATAGGGTTTAGGGTTGGTATTGCTCTTTCAGATCATAAAATGGTAAGTTGCAACTGAAATTGTAGCAGATGCCCCCTATTTCCCTTGTGAATGATACAAAGCATTCTGAGCTCTATGAAATGCCTGGTTTGTTTCATTATGTGTTTGTTTTTTCATTTGAATGTATATGAACATGAATACATGACTCTATGATTTGGCATTGGCTATGATGAAGCTTCCACTCATTACTGGTACTGCATATAGGGTTTAGGGTTGATATTGCTCTTTTAGTTCATGAATGGTAACTTGTAAGTTGTAACTGAAATGGTAGGCTATAACAGATGCCCCTTATTTCCCTTGTGAATGATAATAAGCATTCCGAGCTCTATGAAATGTCTGATTTGTGCCATTATATGCTTGTTTTTCCATTTGAATGTGTATGAAACATGAGTACATTGCTATATGATTTGGTGTTGAACCTGCTGCCAATATGAGTATAATGTATTACACTATTATGCGCTTGTTACATTTGAATGAGCATGATTCTGTCATTCTGGAAAGCATGCACATGCTGCCAAGTGCCAACTATCCCTGGACCCTTGTACCTTGCTCTGATTTGCAGGTTTTGTGTAAGTATCTCATAATCCCATTATACCTTTACTCTATCATTTATATTAATTTTCATTGGCTATGATGAAGCTTCCACACATTACTGAATGTATGGTTTAAGGTTGGTATAGCTCTTTCAGTTCATCACATGTAAGTTTTAACTGAAATTGTAGCAGTTGCCCCTATATTCCTTGTGAAGGATAACAAGTATTCTGAGTCATTGAATCAATGATTTCTCTGATTTGTTTCATTAACTTGTCTTTGTTAAGTTGTTATTGACATATTGTAATACTCTACTACATGTCTATTGCTTTCCATGTGTTCATTAACTTTCTTATGCAGGTGGAAACTTCAAACTGTGGAAGATAGTTGTGGAACTTCAAAGTCTTCAAGCATTTTTGCATTTTTGTGTACTTGACTAGTTGGAACTTTGTATGTTAATGATTAATGAACTGTGTAATTCAGTAATCTGTATTTTGTAATATACTAAAACTCTTTGTTACAATTTTGATCCCCCCTACTCTTTACTTTGTAATATTCACATTATTTATGGCCGTATGGAAATCAAATTATGTTCTGCAATTGTAATATTTTAGATTTACTGGTGTTGAAATTACAAATTATTTTTCAATTTCAAATTATTTTAGTTGAAACTTGAAACCGACTAAACCCGATACCCGATCCGAACCCGCCCTACCCGAAATACAATAAAACCCGAAAATATCTAAGTAAAAAAACATAGGGTAGGATATCCATATTACACATCCGAAACCCGAAAGGGTATTGGGTTCACCCACCCGCCCGACCCGAACCCGCCCGATGCTCACCCCTAGCCGTAACGGGACTTACACGTAATGAAAACCACGCTCTCGCTGGCTTAACCGGAGTTGAGAATATATTAGCGACATCGTATTCATAATTATTGGCAAAGAACTAATATTCAACCCTATTAAATCATTTAAGTGATTCCCGAAGCCTTAGTTGTTGTTATCATTTATCTTAAACTCAAAATTAGTTAACGATTATCTTCTTGAACAAAAAGCGAAAAAGCCAGAAATATAAAACACAAATCAAAACCCCTACACTTTACTCATTTATTTATTTAAAGTCATATACTCTCGGACTAAATTAAACAACGTTTCCCTGTGGATTCGACCGGGTATTTTAGAGGAATTTATTACTATATCCGCATTTGTACACTTGCAAGTTTAGCCCGGTCAGGTCACAAGCAGAACACTCAACCTCGACAATCTGAGCTTCTAATACGAGGCATAAGAGCCTTAGAGAACCTGTTAAAATAAATAATAATGTTAAATATTTAAATAATTAAACTACAATAGTCACTGAGTCAGTGACTAGGGCTGAGCGTAACCCGGCCCGGACCGGAAAACCGGACCAAATCGGACCAATCAGGACCGGTCGGTCCAGACTAGACCCGGACCGGATAGATACTAGTGCGGTCTTCGATCCAAGGGCTTTACCGATTTTAGTTTCGGTCCGGTCCAAAACCCAAATTATTCCGGGCCATTCCAGAACTCCGAACCGGTTGGACCAAAATCAATTTATTATATATATATATATAAATAATTAAATATATACGCATATATATGTATATTTATATATGTTTTGGATCAAATAAAAACCACTCTTAACGTTAAAACTGCAATCCGTTCACTTTTTCCCTAATGCGATGCTTTTTGAAGGTGATCGTTTGCACGTTTTGGACAATGGTGAAGTCATGTCAAATAAGAAAATGTGGTGGCATTTTCATAAATAAGTCAATTTTTTCTGTCGACACGAAAATGTGCAACAGAGTAATCTTATAATGCATCACACCCGAGAAAAAGTGAACGGTTTGCAGTTTTCATGGGAGGAATGATTTTTATTTGAACCACACCCTATTTATATATATGTATTAAATATTTAAACACAAACACATATATATGTATATAAATATGTATGCATATATATATTTATATATGTATTAAAATTTTACACACAAACACATACATAGCACACTAATTAATTTACTTACAAAAGTACATTAATTAGGTGATACAATACCTTAGACAATAACTCAAGTTACATACTGAATATTATTTACACATCACACTAGTAAAATTTTGTAGCATAAAAATATTAGAAGTTAGAATGGTGCATTGTATTTACTTATTTTTACTAATTTTAACAACAATACACAATGCGATTAATTGAAATCTTCTTTGTTAAATACGCAAAACTACTTAGTCAAATCATTCACTAATTCAATCGAGCAAATAACATTAGTATCTCGTACTACGGAGTAATATATATGATCATGCGTGATGTTTTATAGTGTCAAAATTGAGTCACATATTTCACATATTTCCACTAGACATAGTTCATGTTTTATTTGTACTTATTTGATGTATTATACAGAGTAATATATATCATATTGATTAAAAGATACATAAAAATGCAAATCATACGTATTAAATAAAAATTAGAAATATTCACGTGCATACACAACATTATAAAATAGTACATAAAATAGTTTTTTTTTGGACAATGAAAACTATTTATTTAAAAGTTAAAACGTTGTAAAAATAATCCGGGATAATCCGATCCGGTCCCGTCTTTGGTCAAAATAGAGCATAAACAAAAAGGTGCATAAACAAAATTTTGCAGATATAAACGGTTCAATTTATATACCTGTAGAAAAAAGCGCATCTATTTCTCTCTCAAACAGAAGCCTTGTGAAAAACCCTAGCTGGATCACACCATGGCCGGTATGTATGGTCACGAAGGCGATGGCACGGCTCAGCCTCCCAGAGATAGCGGATATGGCGGTAGTGCCGGCGGTAGAGGTTATGGTGGTTCCGGGGCAGGAGGATACGGGTCCAATGGCCGCGGAGCATATGCTGGTTCTGCAGGTGGAGGATACGGATCTGGCGGCGGAGGAGAATATGGAAGTTCTGCAGGTGCAGGATACGGATCTGGCGGGGGAGGAGGCGGATACGGAGGAAGCGGTGGTGGTGGCGCATACGGAGGAAGCAGTGGGGGTGGCGCATACGGAGGAAGCGGTGGCGGTGGTGGTCACGGAGGAAGCGGTGGCGGTGGTGGTCACGGAGGAAGCGGTGGGGGAGGTAGTTATGGTGGAAGTAGTGGAGGAGGGGGTGGGGGGTATGGTGGTAATCAGCAAAATCGAGGTACGACTTGATGCCTTGTTTTTAATTTATATCTTACTGTTGACTTCCTTACATTTACTGATGCTATACATAATAATTTCCATACAGGAGGTGGTGGGTATCAAGGAGGAGATAGAGGTGGAGGTGGAAGAGGTGGAGGCGGTAGAGGAGGTGGCGGCTCGGGAGGAAGCGGTCGGGATGGTGATTGGCGGTGCCCTAACCCGAGGTAATAATTATTGTCTCACCGCAGATCTTAATTGTGATTCATATTCATTGTGTTCTCAATATTGTTTGAATCTTTATTCCATATCTTTATTCCATAGTCTACTTTATTGTTGAATTCAGTTTAGTTTGGTTGTGAGCATAAACAGAAGTCCACTGTTCTTTCTGTCTTTAAGGAGAAATTTGTGGAACTGTTTCTATTCCTTATTTCTCTTCGTACAAGTATTTCTTTATTTTTTTCCTAAGCAACATTGGCAACTTGTACTAGTAATTTCGTACTAGTAATTTCTTATTGGTGCTGAATGTTATTGCAAGTTACATTAACTATGGAATGGTATTAATCTCCGCATGTGTGGCTCTGTAGTTGTGGAAATTTGAACTTTGCTAGAAGAGTTGAATGTAACAAATGTGGTGAGCCTTCTCCTGCTGGTAATGATGATCGTGGTGGCAGAGGTGGTAACAGTTATAACAGAGGTGGTGGCGGAGGTGGTAATAATCGAGATGGAAGGGGTAGGTTTGATAGTGGAAGTGGAGGAGGTGGTAGAAGCAGTGCTTATGGTGATAACCAGGGAAGAGATAACAGTGGTTATGGTCAGGGTCCTCCTCCAGCCTATGATACCAGTTATCCTCCACCTCCAAGTGGTGGTTATGGTGGCAACAATAACTATTCTCCTGATGCAGTTCCTCCTCCTGCAAGTTATGGTGGTGGAACAACATCCTATCCTCCATCATATGGTGCACCTGGTGGTTATGGTGGCAATGCTCCAGAAGATGCCCGAGGAGGGGGTAGGTCAGTCCCTCCTGCTAGACATGATGGTGGGTATAGTGGTGGTGGTGGTTCCTATGGCACTTCTGATGACGCTCCTCTAAAGGTCAAGCAATGTGATGAAAATTGTGGTGATTCTTGTGACAATGCAAGGATCTATATTTCAAATTTGCCCCCGGATGTGACCGTCGACGAACTTAGGGAACTTTTTGGAAGCATTGGACAAGTAATATGCGTATTTCATTTGGTTATGATTCTGTATTTCTGATTTTAACCCCCATGTTTTGGTCAAATTGCGAGCCCTTGCACATCAAGTGTAATAACATTTCCAATGTTAACCATTATGACACTTTAACAGTTACATATACATATTAGCGTAACAGGTGTCTTGTTGCTTTTTCTGCATGTTCATTGAGATCCAGGGAATTTTAGGACATAACTTAAATTTGTAATTTCTACATTTTTTCATTAGTGGTGCGCTTTTTAATATTGACATATATTCTCTGTGTTGAATTGTTTTTATCTTTTCACTAGGTTGCAAGAATTAAGCAAAAGCGGGGCTACAAAGATCAGTGGCCCTGGAGTATAAAGCTATATACAGATGAGCAAGGAAACAATAAAGGAGATGCAGTTCTCTCTTATGAAGATCCTTCAGCAGCCCACTCTGCTGGTGGCTTCTATAACAGTACAGCCTCATACCGCACCTGTGAATTTCATTCTAAACTTTCTTTTACTTCTATTATTTACTAACGCATGCTGTGTTTGGCAGACCACATAATGAGAGGTCACAAAATAAGTGTAGCCATGGCTGAAAAGTCTGCTCCAAAACCTGCACCTGCATATGGTAACAGGTGATTTCTTGTACCGCAACTCTATATTTTTGTTAAAAGGTGATTCAGATAATGCTGCCTTTATATATGAACTATGCTCACTTTTGAGATTCTTTAGTGAAACATCTTTCCTTCCTCATATATGTGTCAGTGTGTACCAAATGCCCATACAGTCTAGGCCCTTCACCTTAGGCTCATAAGGTGTAAGCCTTAAGTGATGTAGCACCTAAGCCTCATATACACAGTACCACCTCCGTCCCACTAACATTGGGACATGAGGAGTTGGTATGGTTATTAACAAGGTTGTTAAGATCGCGATCTAACTCGCTGAATTGTACGATTTTACGATCAGAAAAGGGAGGGTCGAGTTGGATCGCTGCTTGGATCGGAAATAGGCCTGGGATCGCCGGATTGACGAGTAGAAATGTAACTCGTACGGATCGTCGATCTAATCGAGTTGTGATTTCTCAGAACAAAAAACGGGAAACGAAGGAGGACTGATGTCTGGAACAGCGAGTTTTTAAAAAAGGAAACATCGATGCCTTACAATGAAGCCCAAACGCGACCTGCAGCGTTAAGCTTCCCTGCGTCATAGGCTTTAAATCACTGTTCCTCTTAGTAGTAAACTAGGTTTAGTGGTTCAGTTCTGATAGAAATAATAAGTCATGGGCTCATGGCAAGTGGGTATATCTTTTTATTAAATCGTCCCCTTCAAATGTTATGTTAGGTGTTTTATAATATTGCTTTTAGTCTTCACATTATGTTATTAAAATTATAATTATATTATTATTAATTATTAATATATATTTTTTAGAAGATATTTGGTGTTTACACAGAATAGAATTGAATTATATATATGGCTGTGTATTACACACACACACACACACACACACTCCCTCGTTCTTTTTTAGTTGCAACGGTCAACATTTCACATTTGCCAACGCACGTCTTTGACCGTAATTATATCTTAATTCTATTAGTAAAAAATATTAAAAATCAGATTTTGAAAATTTGTAATGAGATGAATTGAACAATATTTTTTTTTAAAAATAATTTTCATAAAATAATAGCAAAAAATGTAGACAAAGTAGAGCATGTGAATAGTGTAAAATTCAACATGTTGCGATTAATACGGAACGGAGGATAGTATATATATATATATATATTGCATGGTATGATCTCCTAGACGCTGTCCGATCCGTGCTAGGATATCGAGTTTAACAACCTTGGTTATTAAGAAAAATGAGTTTATGTGGTTGATATTGAATTGATAAAGTAAGAATGGTTTAGAATCAGCCAAAAATTTCAAAATTTGGTATGAGACAATCTTAGTGGGATGGACCGTAAAGAAAAAATGGAATAATGTAGTAGGACAGAGGGAGTGTATACTGCCCAAAAAATATTTCATTCATCAAGAGAACTAAAAAAAGTACATAATTAAATATGAGTCACTATAACAATAATAATAAGGCTTGCATGGTACAATTCTGTAGTTGCAAAATATCAAATATTCAAATCAACTCTTCAACACAGAAACAAGGCAAGCATGATTAATCAACTGAACAAACAAGAAAGTGAAGTGTTAATTAAGGAAAAATAAAGCGACTGCTTAGAATTGTATAGTTCAAACTTCAAAGCAGTCAAGTAGAGAATAAGATGAAAGAGCTAGGTAGAGACTAAACATCATTTTTGTAGGGTTTTAGATTTTTAGTTGGGTTTATGTTTTACTCTTTTAAAGTCCATGTAAAAGAGTATACTCATTTTCAATACAGAAAAAATCTTATTGAGTTGAACAGTTGAACCCCACATAGAAACAGACACATTTTCTTGTCTAACTGTCCACTTCAGCAGAATATCAGAAGTGTAATCCTTACACAGCCAATTAGACATGTTCCTCGGTGACTCATCTAGGCAGTTATCTAGCATTTACCCTCATGTGAGCCACAAGTGATGAGCCTGCTTTTTTTCCTTAAATGATATGTGGATCATTCTCTATTGGTGTTAGGGAAGGTTTCAAGAGGCGTTTTTTGGTGTTTGCCTCAACATAAACCTCCAGGAAGTATGAGGCGTATGCCTCAACATAACATCACCTAGAAATTTGAAATTACATGCATCGATAGCGTGAGGAAACAAAAAAGTCATGTTTAAAATCTAATAGGATATTTTGGTACCAAACAAAGTACATACATGGGGTAACATTTACGATGCTTAAACTTTGGAACATTAGACCTCAGAGATATTTAAACACATATTTGAAGCATAAACTATAAAGTGCATTTAAAAGTCATTTTCACTTAAGGTCAAGAAGAAGAATTGGCATGTTTGAAATTTCCATCATCACCATGGGATACATTTCTTTCTCAGCGGGAAATTAGAACAATAATGTGCAAAGAAAGCAGTGCATCTGCCAAATATATGGTTAATAGGCTCATAACATAACAGATGAATAAAAAGGCCCAGTATAAATTTTATTTATTAATAATAATTCCTTGATCAAAAGTGTGCTTAATGAATGTTCTCAGCGGGAAATTAGAACAATAATGTGCTCAGAACATTTTAAAAATACTTGGAAGCGTAAACGTCACTGGAAACACCTTGAGGCGTAAGACTCAATCCAACTACCCGAGGCTTAAGTCGGTGGAACTGAGGAGAGCATGGAGGGCGCCTTAATTGCGCCCTTTTAGATAACGGGTTCCCGGTGGAAATGCATTTTATCTCCTTGAAATAATGTAGTTTCTGGAATTATGTTATTTCTTTCTGTTATTTTTTCCCACAATTTGATGGTTGAATGAATATTTAGCAGGGGTGGCGGCAGAGGTGGATATGGTGGGGGTGGAGGTGATAGACGTAGAGACAACTACAGGGATGGTGGAGGCTCTGGTCCAGAAAGGAACTATTCTGGTGGAAACAGATCGCGCCCATATTGAAGTTTTCAAACAAGAATGTTATGTACTAAATTTGTGATGGAAGGTTTATCTTTAATTCAAGTCCCTGATATGTTCTCTCTTAGTTGGTGACTTAAAAGGTAGGTTGTTTTCTCTACTCTGAGCAATACCCTTCTTTTGGTTATTGCTACATGATGGGAGCTTTTTCCCAGTTAAAACTTGATTAATATGAACTATGTGAATGTTTTTTATAGAGGGCGAATGGATGTTCTTCAAATTGCTGCTAAGGTAGGTTGAAATATTCAGGTGAGTGTTGCTCCTAACATACATTACTCTCAGACTAGTTTTTATAAATGGTGCTTTATAATTGAATTATTATATCTTGCCTGCTGTTGGTATTCTACATGAGCAAAAAATAAGCATATTTGCCTTTTGTGTTTTGGCCTTTGATTAAATCATATATAAACCGTGTGTATCCCTGCCTGAAGACCCTATCGTTGCGTTCCATATTTTTGGGAGTGGATGATGTATTATTTTAATTTGACAGGAGGATTGAAATAAAGCTTTTTCATCTAGGAAATAAGTAAAGAAGAGAACAGTCTTTAAGAAAGACATTAGGGGAGGGAAGTGAAACGAGAGAGATCAATTTTTACGGTAAAAAAACATTATTCACCATATTACTAACCAGAAGAAAGAACATTTACATTAAACGTGTACAAAAGAAAAAAGATTTAAATGTTGGTTGTTAGAGTTGTTTGCTATTTGAGAGGGAGGTTTTAAATGTTGGTTGTTAGAAAGTCAAATTTTTATGGTACAAAACTTTTATTATCATATTATTAGCCAGGAGAAGAATACTTAAAAGTCGATGTGTTAAAGAAATTTCAGATTTCTTTTGCATTTCTTTTGATGTATGGTAGAGAGAGTTAAATGATGTTTTCTTATGACTTGTTGATAAAGTTGTGGTATGAACTTAATTTGCAATAGAACTTAATCTTGGTGACTTAGTTGTTACCTCCGTCATTTGTACTCATGTTTATTTATTTATGACTTAATTGAAGTGATGACTTGTTCATCCCGTCGATACAACAACATTTGAGTGGGTAAAGGGGGTTGAATGCTTGGATGTACGCAACTTTACCCTGTACTAAATAACATAGCGACTATATCTCCATGACCCATCGTGTTAGGCATGCACCACTTAAAAATTAATAATTGAATGAAAGACCATATTCTGAAGGAGAGGTTTATGATATTAGTATTTTGAATTGGGTGGGAGGTTGATAAGCTATAGAGTGTGCATGGTTTAACTCAACAAACATGTAGTACGTAGTACTACCTCCGTCCCTCAAATGGATCCTTGTTCACACTCAAATTATTTTTAGAAAAAATTACATATTCAGAAACCACATTAAAAGTTACAAAGTCTCAAAAATCAGAATCAAATTTGACAAAAATTTTATACATAATGTCAGCTTAAAAGTGATCTGTGTTGACCAAGTGGAGGTAGGGGTGGAGTGGGTTGGCTCTACCCGGCCTAGGAACCGGACTGGCCTGCCATAGTGCCATTGTGTGGGACTGGCCCGACCAGGTTGCCCGGGCTCGGGCCTAGGGTCCGAACGGGGGGTTTTGGGCCGGGTCACGGGTTTGGGGTTCTTTGGTACCGGCCGGGCCCGGTCCAGGCCATTTTTTGTTTTCAAATTCTTTGGGAGGTAAATGGGTTGGGTTGAGTGTTTTGGAGGGGTTTGGGTGTGTGTGTGGGGGAGGGGGGTAGGATGAAATTAGAAAAGCAAAAAAAAAAAAAAAACAAGGTACCGGGCCTAGGCCTGGTAGAATCCCGGGCCGGTTTTGGGCCTTAACCCAACATGAATAAGTCCGGTTTGGACTAGCCCAAAGGCCGGTTCAGAAACGGTCCATGCCTAGGCGGAGGGAGTAGTTATTTTCTAATTTAACTCTAATAAATAGGGATGTACTAGTAAAGCCAATACTCAATTAATCTTTATCTCCCAGAATACCTAGCAAGCTAGCATACCTCATGAGTTTATAACTTGTGAAGCCTCCTCATATCGTTTAACAGTTGATCGTCATATCTCAAAGCGATTTTAATTATAATTCATTCAAAAATCATCTTCCAAATTTATTTCTCCCAAATACAAAGGACTTCTTCACCCTCCTCTCCCTTTCCCCTCCAACAACATACTTCCAAAGCTTTCCCTCCCCTTCTATCCAAACTCCCAAATATACCCTAGTAATATTAAGTTGATTTTTTACTCAATTCAGTATGTTTGTTTACCACATGAAATAAACAAACTCCTATAAAAATGTTGCTTAATTAGTAGACATCTTAAGATAAAGAGAAATCTTCTAGGGAGGATTTATTAGGAAAAAAGTAAATTGCTCATTACTGGTTTGTCTCTTTCAAAAATATATTTCTATACACAAAGGGTTCCATATTTGTCAATTTCTTTATTATTTCTATACCTAACAATCCAAGTACAAGTTAAAATTAGTTAATTACGTTAAAATGATTTCTATATCATTTTAACAAAATATTTACTATCAATGACATTTTAGTTCAAGCAGAGCGCATATGTTTGGGCTCGTAACTTCATTCATGCCAAGTTTAAAGCATATTTCTCCTTTATTTGGTGTTTTAATGAATCAAATTTATACCAAGTTTTTCCTTCTGTGATCCCCATTTTTGGTTGCGGGAACATGATATATTTTATTAATTTATCCTCGCATTAGAAAGAGATTGAAGATGTTAAATTATTTATTTTGTTAATTACATATAGCGATGTGTTTTAATGTTTCCGATCAATCAACAAACCATGGTTCTATGCTTCGGTGCTTCACACATTTAATTGGAGTATGTTGTCGGGGAAAAGATAGGCTTACAGAATCTTGTGCAAACAGCAAACTCCTGTCTAGGATAATATCTGTTTATTACTTTTTTCTTGCATTATAAAGAGATCGAAGATGAGAAATTATTTACTTTGTTTATTTATTCATTCTTACATTAGAAAGAGATTGAATATGAGAAACTATTAAGAATCACATTATTTAAGTAGATACCTCTTTCATCTTCGGGAGCAAGGGCACACGTTTGTTCGTAATGCTCTTATTGAGAAATTCTAATATGGGATAAAAATGTCTAGTCAGCTATAATTATATTTTGTTTAATATGGTTATCAATATTGTTACAATTGCAAGACTATCTGTTATGTGAAAACCTTATGTGAGCAACTATAAGTGAACATAGGGGAGTATGAATTATTTCACGAATGACGTTTTTATGAAGCACTAGTAATCTAGTATAATATTAGTAGTCGTGCGACATTATTCCACTCTTTGTATTACATACTAAATTATTTAAAATCAAAGTACCTTTAATAAAATTTGAGTTTGCACTCCATGTTTTGGGTGATATTTGATTTTACACCTCATTTTTGAAATCATTAATGTGTGCACCTCATTAGCTCAAAAATTGTGAAAGAGGGGGTGCAAAGTCAAATGATTTTATACTAAATTGGGTTGCATACATTAATGATTTTTAAAATAGGGTGCAAAGTCAATTTTCCCTAATAAAATTTAAGTTAATTCAATAAGTACATCAAAATTATGAACTCTTTGTTAATTAAAGTTATACGACAATGACATTTTATACACACGTTAGAGGCGGAGTTAGGGGATTGGGTCAGATTAGGCCATTAAAATGAATATTTTTAGAAAAAAAAATAGACTTAAATTTTTACATTAAAAAGATATGCATTTTTTAAATTCTGGGTGGATCAGTTCCTAGGTCAGCCCCCCTCTAGCTCCGCTCATGGCAAACACAATTTAGTATGTAGTACCGAGTATTATTTTTATTTATTTATTACTTTATCCTTCCCTGTTTAAAAGTCACTCTTTTTTTACACACAATTTAAAAAAGTAACATTGTTTGGTACTTTTTGCATTGTTTCCTTTACCGAATATTGAAAGAGACATTTTTTTAAACACGGTCCGAAAAGGAAAAGAAATTTTATTAATTCAAGATCCGAAAGATAAATTAATTATCAATTCGGGATTTGAAAGATAAAATGCATTGATATAGGATCCGAATGATGAAAAATTATCAATTTAGGACCTGAATGATTGAAAACAATTAATCTAGGACCTAAGTTGTCATAATTTTTTTTATTAAAAATTTTTAAATATAATTTTATTTTATTAAACTAATAAACTTTTGTGAAGAAAAGTTTATCAAAATTAGTAATGGAATTAATAAAAATTAAATAAATCAAAACCTATGAAATGTTAGGTCCTAAATTGATAGTTTTCCATCATTCGGGTCCTATACTGATACGTTTCATCTTTCGGGTCCTGAATTGATATTTAATCTATTTTTTCGGGTCCTGAAATTTAGGGATGGACTCGGGTCTGGGCCGGGTCCGGGTCGGGCCTAGGCCCGGGCGGGCCGGCGGTTCAGAAATGGTGGACCCGAGACCGGCCCGGGTAACCACCGGGCCCGGTCTGGGTTCGGGCCGGGCCGGGCCGGGCCCATTATCATTTTTTTTTGTTTTCCTCTTCCTAATTAACCCCCCTCCCACCCCCAACCCCCAAACCACCCCAAAATACCCAGCCCAACCCGAAAAAAAAATAATTTTTGGCCGGGCTCGGGCCCGGCCGGTTCGGGCTTTGTTTTGGGTGACCCGAGCCCGGACCGGAAAACCCACGGGCCGGGCCTACCCGGACCAGTCACTGACCGGGCCACCAGGTCAGGCCGGGGCGGAACAGTACCGGTCCCGGGCCGGTTCCGGGTCGGGCCACCCGCCCCGAGTCCATCCCTATCCTGAATTGATAAAATTCCAACTTTTTAAATAGTAATAACATCCAAGTGTTTATTTCTTACTCATTTTTAAAAAATACACTACATACACAGATACACTACTGCATATATGATATTTTCAATCAGACGAGGCCATGAAACATCAGTTATCCTTGATGAAACGTTTTGGGATAATTTCCAAGTTAAATCAAATTTAACACATTTTTGAAAGTAACATTTAAAGCAACTCCATTCATCGGCCGAAAGTACAATAAAATTTGGACTATGCTATTCACAGTCTCCGTTTTCAATTACTTGGTACGGCCGGCTGTACCGTGTGCACGGTACAGCCGTTTTTTTTTTGTTTTGTAATTAACATGTGTTGCAAGCCTGCAACTCATCTGCGAAGAGGAAGAAGGGCATCGATGAAGACGGAAATCGACTGTCCAGGTCTCCAACTCGTGAAGCAGCCCAAGCCGCCACATACTCCGATCGATTGGCGCAACGAAATATGACTTACACAGATGACAATTCTCAACAGCCGCAACTCTCCAACACGAGCGCAACACCTCAAACTCCGGCTTCAGCGGCGGTTTCTGGGCAGCACCTCGTGTATAGCCCTAGTTGCTTCTTCTCCCTCTTTCTTGCTTTGGACTCTTCCTTTTTCTCTTTTTCTTACTTAAGTTTGGTGAGTGAGTTTGGTCACTTGTTGGCCACAAGTTAGAGAAATCTAAGTTGTACCTAATTCTTCAAATGTGAGCATAATAAATGAAATTATGATCATCGTAGACATTTCAAATGAGTTTTATGAACTTATTTTGTAATTTATGTATACTCATTTGATATTAGTGTAATATTCATTTTTAATGAAATGAGTTTTATGTTAAACTAAAATGAGTATGACGTTCAAAATAAATGAGCACGCACAAATGAACTTTTTAATTATTTGATACTAATTTGTAAGTTATGTATGCTCATTTTAGACTAAATTTTTTTAATAAACGAAAAATTATTAAAAAGAATGTGAAATATGAGGAATGAAGCAGATATCATTGATGCTCATCGTTAGGTTCCTAATACTCAAATGAAGAGACTCGGTGCTCATCAAAATTGATTCAATGCTCATTTAAAGAGAATCTGTGATTTTCACCAAAATTACAAGTTTGTCACCGGTTGTACGACTGACACCGTACAGCCGGTTGTACCATATACGCTTCCCCGTTTTCCTTTTCACGGCCACGAAATTGAATGCAATGCAATAAATTATTAAATTTTCTAATTTAACCTATTAATAATTGTCCAACCATAGCCGTCAATAGTTCAATCTTTCGGCTTTATCTTTGATGAAGAGAATGAATGTCTAAACACACCTTCCTCATCTACGTGAAACGGCACAATCAACACCAGTGGACGTTTCTTTTTGAACACAAATTTGATGGTCTAATCTGATTTGGTTTGATTTGAACTGGTCTTGTCTTGTAAATGTCCGGTTTTTGTGTATTTTATAACTATGGAAGTCTGGTATGAGACTGAAAACAGCGTAAAAGAAATCATGCTAAATCACTAATTCGATCAACATTAAGTCGCCAATTTACAACCTTCTTGTTCCTTTGGTCTGAGCAACTGAATCAATCCCACAATCCCAAGTTTGAAAGATACAACGTTTTCTTTTTATGCAACTCTCCAATATTCAAATTTAAAAGGAAATTTGATTTTCTCTAGTAATCATACTCCGTATTTTTTAAACTAATAAATGATCACAAGTTCAAAATACAAAGCTAGAAGGCGCAAATTGCAAAGCTGTAAAAAGCTTTTTCTTCCTAAGTTTCACGTTCTTATGTAGAAATTGAAGAAGTTTATACTAGGGACGGTTAGAAAAAAAATTATTTCAACAAATTATTCATTTATATTCTATGTGTCTGCGATTAAAAGGCGTGGCAAACACAAGCACTAGATTAAGGCGTAGAGCCGTAGACCCAGAATTGGAAAATTAATGTTCTTCTTCTCACATCCATATTGAACTTGAGAAGTTTCAAGGGAGAACTATCAAATAAGCTCTCGAACTTTCATAAAAAGTCAATTAAGCCCTTTTACAGGAGGCTTTATCCGGCTGTCGTCATTTGGGGCGGTTTCCGGTTGAATTTTCTGATGAAATTTTTTGACCATCTTCTTCATTAAGTCTAATTTTCTGAAGTATACTGCGCTGCCTAACTGCACAGTTATCTTCAAAAATTCATTTGACTGTCTTCCCGATTGAATTTTTAGCTGAAATTTGATATGAGTATACTAGACTTAATGAAGAAGATGCTCAAAAAATTCCATGAGAAAATTCCACCGGAAATCGCCCCAAATGGCGACGGCTGGACAAAGCCTCCTACAAAAGAGCTTATTTGCACTTTATATGAAAGTTCAAGAGCTTATCTGGTAGTTCTCCCAAGTTTTAATTAGGCATTAATTGTGTTCATCTCCGTTGAGCAGTGAAAATAGTTGATAGGATGCGGGCAAGGTCAAATTAGAGATGTCAAATGTGTCGTTAACGTAAACTTAATCAGTGGCTATAAAAAGTAATTAGGTGAGTGTATATAGAAGGGAAATTACAATCGCAACCTCCAATTTTACTATACACAGCCACAATTTGATAAATAATAGATCGAAATCTTCATATTTCCAGCACTGTCCTTTTAATATTACAGAGTACACCCCAAATGTAGGGATGACCGCAAAGTTCCCTATTACTATCGGAGTGCATCAAGGATCATCTTTGAGTACTTGCTTCAAGATAATGAGTGCTCATGAGCAAAGCAACGTTGTATGATTCTAGAGTGCGACTCACCACCTCTGTTTGCCCTTCAGATTGGGAGTGGTAAGCTTCATGCGCAACCGAGCCCGACTAAGCACAAAAACTCATGCCTAAAATGGCTTAGAAAAACAGATACTACGTACAAATCAGAGCGTGGAAGTCGATATTGACGCACTAATTACCCTCAAAAATAGGTAGCACAGGCTTAGTCATGAACGGATGGGATAAGGGCACTAAGTGGCATTATTTGCTGAATTTGTCCACCACCACCACTAGAACTGTGTCAAAAAACTTTATGATACACGCTTCCATGTCTTCAAAAACCCACCATGACCTCAAGACTCAAGTGACATCTGGGTATCATGACACTTGGATATAATTTTCTTGCGAAGTGATGACATTCCCAGGATAACCAACCGCCTTTTGCAGAATTGTCACCCTTCCACCAAGGAATAATCGGGGCAAGTAGTAGGATTCCTTTGTAGATAAGAGATAACAGCTTTAGTAGCCGAATATTGTAACTATTCATCATGTAGAGTCATGAAATCCATGTTCACGGGCAACACCAAAGTAAGCAATTCTGCTGCATGGCGTGGTTTTCGTGAAAAGGCATAAGCTCCTTGGTTGTCATTTCTTATATATCTTCTATTATACAAAAGGAGGAGAAAAAAGGAGCCAGTTTTCCCGCCCAAAGATACGGGTCACAGTTGGGTCAAGCCTAGATGGTAATCTAAAAGTGACGCAAATTGATGCTTTTTTGATATGATAAGATCATCAGACCCGTTAATGTATGTATCCATCGTGTAGTGGTGTATTTACATTGTCATAGGGGTTAAAAGAGTGAAAAGAAGATATTGAAAATTGCACTTCTTTGAATAGCGTGAAAGGTGTGAGAAAGGTGTGATGTACAAATAAAAAAGGAACAAAAAAATAGCTCTTTCATGCGTGTGCACCTCGTCCTTGGTGTTCTTGTTCCCGAGTGATTCTGTTTGGGATGTATGGGTAGGCCTGATCGAGGTGTCACAACCGAGGTGATCATCACGGACAATAAGCGTATTTCTGTATTCTGGACTGGCTTTGGTTGAGAGCCGAGAGGCCCAGATGGCGTCAAGGGCTTGTGCTGGACAGACAGTTGCACGACATCAATAATCACAGGATTAAAAAGGCCCAACCATCTTCCGTACCTTAATTTTATGATCATTTATCACGTTAGAATAGATGAAAACCCAAAGCCATCGAGTAACTTTAAATCTTCAATAAATTAAAAAGCCACTAAAAAACTTCAATAAATTAAAAGGCGACTGAGAAACCCAATAAAATAAAAGCTCACTCGTCATTGCGTCCCAAAATGACTACTTGTACAGATGGACTAATCTCTTGCAATGGCATCCAATCCTCAATTTTTGCTAAAGAATGTCGATCTTGAATGAAAATCTGCTCAAGTGCAACTGCATTTTTTAGTAAGTAGGCTGCAAGCTCCTTCACATTCCAATACCGAATAGCACCAGAAAACTTCACTGTTTTCAACTCAAAATGTGGTTGCTCTGGGAATTGTGTTTCCACGACTTGCATGGGGTCATAGCAATTACTACACTGCATTTTGAGATGGAAGGTTATCAACGTCAATATTCTAAAACCAATGATCAAGAAGCTAAAACAAGGTCAAAACTTCTATGATTTGAACCCATTTGTTTCATCCAAACTGAATTGACTGGCAACTCCTGTTACCTCAATTTTCAGTCATATTCCTGAAACCCTCCAAACGTAATTTGTTATAAAATGAAATTAAAAAGCTACCTTTGACCTCAACATTGAGAATTGGCAACTGAAGAAAGAACAAACTACACAAACATGCATAGCAAAAGAAGGCATGTGCAGCAGGCTTTCCATACGAAATCAATAGGCAAAAGAATGCTTGATATAATAATGGACTGCACGTATACTCAAGTAGTCCTAAACAAGAAAAAGAGTGTAAATGTTGCAGATGGAAACTGTATCAAGAGGAGAGAACAAGCACTTAACGTTCACACAGGTGACAACAAAAAGGAACCCAATTGGGTATCCGAAATAATGCTATGCTTGATATAGACAACATGGATGATCATCAAGTAACAAGCACAATATCAAAAACCATTACAAGAAACTGTATCAACAAACCTGTAGTTCAAATATCTGGAGTAGCGGACAAGCATTTAACATGCAGCTGAGAGCCCTAAGGTCAAATGGTTTAGGGTTTATAGCTCTTATTTTAAGCTTTTTTAGACTGCGTCTAGCAAGAGATGCAAAGAATGGTTGTACCTGCCCAATGGAAAAAGAAGGGATTATTTAAACAATGTGTGTGACTAGCATTTCTAAAATATAGGAAAGTCATTTGATATACTAAGTTTATATATATATATATATGTGTGTGTGTGTGTGTGTGTGTGTGTGTGTGTGTGTGTGCGCATTAGATTTCAAAATTGTGCATTATGTGAAACCAAAAATTGCGCTGCTATGAATCAGAAAAAACAATTAAATTTTAGTAAATAAATTAACTTCTCTACCAAATTGGATTTTGCATTATCTTAAACATAAATGTGCACGTCATGAATCAAAATGTGTTTTATTTTGGTGTTATTCTTATTTTTCGAACAAAAAACTCATCAGAACCGGGCCCTACACACACACACATATTCGGTCCAGATGAAAAACTCTTCCAGAGAAAAAATAAAAAAATAAAATGAATCTGAAGTGTTCATTGTTTCAACTTGCACTCTTGTGTTGCACTGATACCCTTTTTTGTTTAATGAGAAATTGATTTACTGTACTAAATTTGAAAAAATGAATACTCTAAATTTATTTTAATTTTTTCATTGAAATAGTACTTTTCACTTGAACCAACCCATATATATATATATATATATATATATATTTATATATATATACATACACATACATACATACATATATATGTATATATATACACACATACATATATATATATATAGGTAAGAGTTCAAATAAAAAGACCTCTTCCCGTGCAAAGTGCGAAGATATGCACTTTTTCATGTTTCGCTTGCACTTTTTCGTGTTTCTGTTGCACTTTTTTGCGGTGGCGAAAAAGTGTGGTTTATTTACAAAATTGCCACCGCGATTTTGGTCGAATTTAGTGCATTTTTGGCTCATTTTGTGCCATTAGATGTGGTAATTAATGCACAAGATTCATTCTCACTTTGCATGGGAAGAGTTCTTTGTATTTGCACATATGTACATATGCATATTTACACACACACATATATATATATATATATAGGGGTGAGATCACATACTAACCATGCTTAATTTACTAACCTACAAACTCAATAATATGCACCACTTTGAACTTCAATATGCAATACAAATAATGTAAATATGAAACTGCTATTTTATGGCTTGAATAATATGAAACACTTTAAACTTCAATGTGCAATATAAATAATGTAAAGCTGATTTGAATGAGAGGACTAATTTGTATGTGATCTCACCCCTGCATCTTTACATAATTTGTACTGCATATTGAAGTTCAAAGTGCTGCATATTATTGATTTTGTAGGTTAGTGTATATATATATATATAATAATCTACACACACACATGTTCGGTTCAAATGAAAAACTCTTCCAGAGAAAAAATAAAATGAATCTGAAGTGTTCATTGTTTCAACTTGCACTCTTGTGTTGCACTAATACACTTTTTTTATAATGAGAAATTAATTTACTGTACTAATTTTCAAAAATGAACACTCTAAATTTATTTTAATTTTTTCATTGAAATAGTACTTTTCATTTTTTCATTGAAAGAGTACTTTTCACTTGAACCAACACATAATAGATCAAATAAAAAGACTCTTTTCCCATGATATTTTGATGCATCGAATTTAAGATCTAATGGCTCTAAATATATTAAAGATGCATTAAAATGAATGAGAAACACAGTGGCATTTTGGAAAATAAATCCAAGTTTATCTCCATTGGAAAAGTGCATTTCCTGTACACAGTAGTATATGATAAATCCAAGTTTATCTCCAATGGATTGATTTCTCATTAAGCAAAAAAGTGTATCACTGCGGCAAAAGAATGAATTACAACGGCTTACCACAAACCAGGTTAACCAGCACAAGATTTTTTATTTGTTTACATTTAAAAAAAAATCTGATGCACTTTTAAGGTATAGAAATACAATATTATGTATCAATAATACACTTTTGAAACCCTAAACTTTTACTTATTACTAAAATGCCACATCACTTTTATCCTAAAAAGATCACATAAGCGAGGCATATCTAGGGTGGGGGCAGTTGTCCCCCTCAACCGAACCCTTATAGGCCTATAGCATTTCCTGGTGAATTTTTTTTATGAAACATTATTAGCATGTTCTTCATAAAATGTAGATCATCTCTACAAATTTCAGTTTAAAATTAGATCGAGAGGTCAAGTAAATAAATATTAAAACATATTGTTCTTTATGTATATATAAGGATATGAGTAGCCACTCGCAGTTTAGTGACTAATTTCTGTCAACAAGGGGACATCTACAAGGGTGACATGACATGAGTGGCCAGAATACTGAAAAGTTCAAGACAAGCACAATGTACCATATCTGCACCATTCATGTGGGGTGCACTTCCAATGAGAAAATGTTTAACGTGAGAACGCAAACATTTAACCCAATGTCATGCACAATAGAGGTCGTCTAGTTCACGTTTTAACATTGCTCAAATCAAGCCAATATTAAATAGTCACGGTGATATTTTGGTAAATATTATGCTTAACGCGAAAAACTACAACAAACGAGCTTCATTGTGCATCATATTGGAATTATGTGTTCTTAAGCTAAGCATTATTTTCATTTGATCCTGAATATACTCACACATATATATACAATGATCATATACAATGATCATGTAAGGTAGGCATACAATTTACAATGATCATGTAAGGTAAGCCTATATATATAGAGAGAGGAATGATTATGTTCAGTCAGGGGACAGGACTCTCCGGCCGGCTGCCGCTGTTTGGGGCGGTTCCAGGAAAAAAAAATTTTGATAAATTTTTTTGAGCATATTTCTCAACAAGTCTAGTTTATCTAAAACAAAAAACAAGCTAATGATTCAATAGCGAAGGCAGGCAAATTATTTTTTGAAGATAACTGCGCAAAAGTATACATATAAAACGCAGATATTTTCAAAAATTTATTCAACTGTCTTCGATTAAGTGTAGGTTATGTCAACCAAATATCAGATTCGAATTCAATCAAGAAGTTGGTTAAATAAATTATTGAAAAAACCGCATGCTTTATATGTAAAAACTATGCAATTTTGAAAAAATTATTTATCTGACTTGCTGATTATATTTTAAACTGAAATTTGAAAGAGATAGTATACCAAGAAAGAGGCCTAAAATTGTAACATTTAGGCCTACCTTTCATGAATATTTTCTTATATATATATATATATATATATATATATATATTATACACACACATAGTCTAATATTTTATAGGGTATTGCTCAAAATAGAAGTAAAACATACTACCTCCGTCCCAAAAAACTTTTTCATTTCAAAAAAACTTGAACCATGATTTTGATTAGTATAATATTATTAAAGTTACAAATTTTGTACTTTTATGAGAGTATTTTTAACAAAGAACATTTTCATATAATTCTTATATTACAGGTAGTTAAAAAAAAGATATAATTGGTCAAAGTTTTGAAATTGACAAAGTTTTTTGGGACGGAGGTAGTATGAGAAATTCTAAAATAGCAATAATATGTTTCTTTCCCAAATAAAGGATTTATGTAATTATATTCAAAGAGTAAAAGGATAAAAAAACTAATTTAATAAGAATGCATGAGTCCTATTTTGAAAGAAAACAATGGTACACCAATTTGAGAAAATTTATTGTGTTTAGGCGGCTTAATAATATAAATTGATCTTCTTTTTGTATATACTTCTACATTTAAACGTTAAACTAAGTCTAATTACATTTGATCTTCTGTGATGTGATCTGCTATTTGTGGATGTGTGAATAAATTTTAGTGTAAATTTGCCCCCAATAAATTTTCTGGACACACCGCTGCACGTAAGAAGTACTTTTATTTTATTTGAACTGAAGTTTATATGTGTGTGTGGATATATGATCCTGACTTAGCTTGATAACTAACCTGGCTAGTAAGTGTAAGGAACAAGACTTCAAGACTTGGGGAGTTTGCAGTGAGATGATCAAATGCATGTGCGTAGCCACTCGCAGTTTCGTGACTAATTTCTCTCAACAAGGGGACATCTATAAACGTGACATCACATGAGTGGCCAGAATACTCAAAAACCTCAAGAGAAGGACAATTGAGTTGGATCCCAGACAGATTCTTGATGCTCAATTTCTTGAGACGGAGGTGTGGACCATGTATGGAGAGTAGAAATGGCATTGGGCAGGAATGGAGCGAAAGGGATAAGAGATTTGAAGCTCGTGAGAGGAGACGTCGGAACCCCCTCTCAGCCAAAGGCACATGATTCAAATGGAGTGCAGTCAAATTGCGTAAGCAGCTAATGCATTCACGGGAAAGGTGTAGTTTGCAGAATGTTAGGCTTAAGTTCTTCAAACGGCAAGGGGGCGCTGCTCCGCCTGCTTTACCAAGGTTTAAGAGATGAGATGGGAATACATATCTTTCTTTGCCTTCGCGCAGGCCACGAAAGTTGAGCTGTATTTCCTCCACTCCCTTTCTAATAGAGGTCTCAACCCAGCTATCAATATGGGATGCGTGTTCATTCACGAGAGCAAACTCAACAACAAGCTTTCCCATTTTTTGGCCCATCCAAACTTCCATGAACCGATGGACAATGTTAACAAACTTGGTGTTAAGAATATGTCTGAGAGGGTACACAATTGATTTCCCAAACACAGTAAGAGGGTCAAAGTGGAGATCAGGGCGATGGTCAGGGAGGTCTTTCCACAGAGCTGTTGAAAACCTTGCTCTCACACAATCTTTAACAGGTAGCAAAGAGAGAATGTGGCAAATGATTTCGGGGGGCAATTGGGTTATGTTGTTCAAAACTGGATCCTCCCTCCCCTCCTGCAAATGAATTAGACCATGAGCTAGCAATCTAGTAATAAGAGCATACAAATATGGTGAAACACCAGAAAAGAAATTGTTTTGGTTTTGCAAAGAGGTTTGCCCCTACATACCTGAAAGCTCAGTCTGTCAAGACTCCTTTTTCTGCAAGCCTGTACACGCCAAGCATCATCTGGTGCCTGTTTGAGCTTCTCCATCTCCCTTCCTTCCTGGTGCTTGTCTTTGACTCACCCGCACTTTTGTTTCCAACTTAGCAAGACTCTTCTTTCCAATTACCCACAAAAGAAGAAAACAAACAGAGACCGGAACCGTCCGTCAGGTCATACTAGATCGGATCGGATCGGATCGGCTTCCTGTGTTCAACTCCCTTCGACTCTCCTTTGTGCCTTACCGTCTTTGGCTTTACCGCCCCTGCCGATGACACTTGCCCCGTATATATATATGAGCACTTGTATCTATGCTCATAATTTCAATTCATAAAGAATACCCGAACTCTTCCTAATTTATTAACTTACTGTATTATTTTGGCTATAAATAAACCATCAATTAAGGTTGCTTCCATATTTTCTTAAATTGGGGTGGGTTTTGGGGTGGGAAAATATACCGAAATTTCGGTATACCGGCCATACCATACCGAAAAATATCGAATTTACCGAAATTTTTGGTATACAGAAAAGTTCGGTACGGTATGATACCATACCGGGTCACTTCGGTACGGTAAAGGTATGGATTTTTTAAATTTTCGGTATGGTACGGTATATACCGAAATACCGATATACCGAAATAGAATTTGTAAATTTTCAGGGCCAAACCCATTAAATGAAATTATTAAAATACCAAGGCCTAAAATTAAAATAACCCATCTTATAATACTACGGCCCTTCTCTAGTTCTCCCGAGTAGAGGCCTAAATCCCTGATCAAATAAATGAGAGAATTTGAGTTTGCACCTCATGTTTTGGGTGATATTTGACTTTGCACCCCATTTTTAAAATCATTAATGTATGCACCCCATTAGCCCAAAAATTGTGAAGGAGTGAGATGCAAAGTCAAATAATTTTATAGTAAATTGGGGTGCATACATTAATGATTTTGAAAACAGGGTGCAAACTCAAATATCACCCAAAACATGGGGTGCAAAGTCAAATTCTCCCCAAATAAATCAACGTAGAGTCAAGCAGCTTCTCTTCTCTTCAATGAGTGACAGAGTTGTGGACTATTGAGCATTGACGATGGAGATGCGGACGAGTGACGAAGACGCCATTGACGAAGCACGGAGTAGCGGACGACCGTCATTATTTGCTAAAGCTTAACCATCCTGGTAATATGAACAATCTGGTCTGATGGATAGTGTACCCGGGGTAGCTTATCCGAGGGGTTATTGCGGAGAATAACTAGAGAGAAGTCAGATCAAATGAGTAAGAGAGAGAGTGTATATTCGATATGTATTAAGCGTGGTTTACAATGGGGGAAAGGGGTGCTATTTATAGCAGTAATAAATGCTAGATAAGGACACGTGTCAGTTTTCTGGTGGTCGAGGGGTCACCTCGACCGGGGTGGCACTCGCACTCGCATGTGGCCGCATTAAATGTGGCGGTTGGATGTGACGTTTGTACTTGGTACGGTGATCCAAGCGCATGTGAAGAGGATATTCTGTCGAGGTGGATGCCTTCGGCTGAAGGGTGCTGGGCCGAAGGCTCTTTTAACCGAGGGCTCCTACCCGCCGAGGGCTGCAGATGCCGAAGGCTTGGTTTTCAAGCCTTGTTCTCCTGTGATGCCTCTTCTAACCGAGGGCTCCTACCTGCCGAGGGCTGCAGTTGCCGAAGGCTTGGTTTTCAAGCCTTGTTCTCCTGTGATGCCTCTTCTAACCGAGGGCTCCTACCTGCCGAGGGCTGCAATTGCCGAAGGCTTGGTTTCAAGGCGTGTTCTCCTGTGATGCCTCTTCTACCCGAGGGCTCCTACCTGCCGAGGGCTGCAGTTGCCGAAGGCTTGGTTTTCAAGCCTTGTTTTCCTGTGATGTTTCTAATCTCGATTCCGTCACTGGTAGCCTTCGGCCGTAAAGCCGAAGGCACCCCTTTGCGTATTGTGGGCTGCTTAGAGCTCCATTTTGCTGGGCTTGGCCCGTTTGGGCCTATTGGGCCTGATTGTAGTAGAGGAAGTATGTGGGCCGGGGGTCCCTGGGCCATATACTCCATCAGGAGTCCCCCACTCCTTTTGCCGAAAGGTACTTGAGGGAAAAGGAGTAGCTGTGGTGATTTCCCCGAAGGCTTCCCTGTTCTGTTGGGTGCCTCATTTTCTCAATTCCCCCATATGTCGAGGGCTGAGAGCTTCCTGAAGGGAGTGTAAGTGTGTTGCTCGTATGTGTTTCTTTGTTGTAATTTGTAAAGTAATGAGAGATCTGCATTTGTGTGCTTTGTCGAGGGCATTTGTTGACTGAAGGCTTTGTGTGGCCGAAGGCATCATGTGACCGGAGGCATCATGTGGGCGAAGGCATCACGTGGCCGAAGGCATCATGTGGCCGAAGGCATTGTGTGGTCGGAGGCATCATGTGGCCGAAGGCATCATGTGGCTGAAGGCATCATATGGCCGAAGGCATTGTGTGGCCGGAGGCATCATGTGGCCGAAGGCATTGTGTGGCCGGAGGCATTCTGTAAGCCGAAAGCATCATGTCGAGGGGAGTAGATTGCCGTTGTGATCTTGCCTCAGTTTGTTGTAGCTGAGAAATAGAAATTTTTTAACATTTGCGTGTTTTGCCGAGAGGAGTCCCCCAGTCCCCCACTCCTTTTGCCGAGAGTTTCTCGAGGGAAACAGGAGTAGAGTGATGCATGCCTTCAGCAGGAGCCGCCGAGGGGCGACGCCTTTTGTTCCACAATGGGGAGATGCCTCGTTAAAAACCTCATTAGGAAAAAACCCTGTGGGAAAAAAAATCCTAATGAGGGAAAAAGAGTACACCGGATGCCCCCAGAATGAATCAAAAGGAGTGCACCCTTCGGCCTTGATTGTTGAACGGCGGTTGTGTCCGTCTGCTGAGGAGATATCCAAGATCAGCCTTAGATCCCTACATGAAAAAGCTAAGGAGCTTGTAAGGACCCCCTCCCCCCCCCCCCCCCCCCCCCCCGTTATCAAATAAAGGTGACGGAGGGGTGCAAGGCCAGGTGGGCTTGTGTGAGAGCCCCTGACATCAAATACAGAGGCCAGAGGGATGGAGACCGAGGGGTCTTCGTGATGGCCCCTGACATCAAATAAAGATATCGGAGAAATGAAGGCCGAGGGGCATGTATGATAGCTCCTGGCATCAAGTAAAGATGCCGGAGGGCTGAAGGCCGATGGCATGTGTGATGGCCCTCGACATCAAATAAAGATGTCGGAGGGATGAAGGCCGATGGGCCTGTATGATAGCCCCTGGCATCGAATAAAGATGCCGAAGGGATGAAGGCCGAGGGACCTGTGTGATTCCCCCGACATCAAATAAATATGTCGGGGGGATGAAGGCCGATGGGCCTGTATGATAGCCCTCAGCATCAAATAAAGATGCCGGAGGGATGAAGGCCGAGGGACCTGTGTGATTCCCCCGACATCAAATAAAGATGTCGGGGGGATGAAGGTCGATGGGCCTGTATGATAGCCCTCGGCATCAAATAAAGATGTCGAAGGGATGAAGGCAGAGCGGCCTGTGTGATGGCTCCCGGCATCAAATAAAGATGCCGGAGGGCTGAAGGCCGATGGCCTGTGTGATGGTCCCCGACATCAAATAAAGATGCCGGAGGGATGAAGGCCGATGAGCCTGTATGACAGCCCCTGACATCAAATAAAATGCCGGAGGGATGAAGGTCGAGGGTTGCTGTGATGTGGAATCACGCTGAGGCCGAGGGCGGTTGTGATGTTGAGGCCGAGGGCCGTTCTGATGTAGAGGCCGAGGGCCGTTGTGATGTGGAATCACGCTGAAGCCGAGAGCCGTTGTTGATGTAGAATCACGTTGAGGCCGAGGGCCTTTGGTGATGTGAAATCATGTAAGGCAAAAACCGTTATGACATAGAGTAATGTTGAGGCCGAGGGCCGTCTGATGTTGAGGCCGAGGGCCATTATGATGTCCTCACGCTGAGGCCGAGGGCCGTTGTTGATGTTGAGGCCGAGGGCCATTCTGATGCTGAGGTCGAGGGCCGTTGTTGATGTTGAGGCAGAGGACCGTTCTGATGTTGAGGCCGAGGGCCGTTGTGATGTGGAATCACGCTGAGGCCGAGGGCCTTTGATGATGTGAAATCATGTAAGGCAAAAACTGTTATGACATAGAGTCATGTTGAGACTGAGGGCCGTCTGATGTTGAGGCCGAGGGCCATTGTGACGTGGAATCACGCTGAGGCCGAGGGCCGTTGTTGATGTTGAGGCCGAGGGCCGTTCTGATGTGGAATCACGTTGAGGCCGAGGGCCGTTGGTGATGTGAAATCATGTAAGGCAAAAACCGTTATGACATAGAGTCATGTTGAGGCCGATGGCCATTTGATGTTGAGGCCGAGGGCCATTGTGAAGTCATCACGCTGAGGCCGAGGGCCGTTGCTGATGTTGAGGCCGAGGGCCGTTCTGATGTTGAGGCCGAGGGCCGTTGTGATGTTGAGGCCGAGGGCCGTCTGATGTTGAGGTCGAGGGCCATTGTTGATTTTGAGACCGAGGGCCGTCTGATGTTGAGGCCGAGGGCCGTTGTGATGTGGGATCACACTGAGGCCGAGGGCCGTTGGTGACGTGGAATCATGCCAAGGCCGAGGGCCATTGGTGACGTGGAATCGAATTGAGGCCGAGGGCCTTTCCTTGATAGTTCCAGGAGTCCTCTGGGTGTATGTTCCTTCTTTCAGGCATCGACCGAGGGGTTGATTCCCTGCCTCGGCCGAAAGGAGGTCCAAGTGATCCGTCCGGGGGTTCGTCTGTTAGTCCCCCGGCGCTGGGCCGTCCCTTGATTGTGCCAGGAGGTCGTATGTTAGTCCTCCTGATGTGTGTTCCTTCTTCTAGGCTTCAGCCGAGGGGTTGATTCCCCGCCTCGGCCGAAAGGAGGTCCAAGTGATCCGTCCGGGGGTTCGTCTGTTAGTCCCCCGGCGCTGGGCCGTCCCTTGATTGTGCCAGGAGGTCGTATGTTAGTCCTCCTGATGTGTGTTCCTTCTTCTAGGCTTCGGCCGAGGGGGTTGCTTCCCCACCTCGGCCGGAAGGGGGTCCAAGTGATCCGTCCGGGGGTTCGTCTGTTAGTCCCCCGGCGCTGAACCGTCCCTTGACCTTGGGGGGTCCCGTCGTCTATTTACGGTGCGGGCTAGGCTTGGTCGGTTTCCGAAGACTGCCGTTTCACCCCCAAGTTTGGGGATTTCGTCACCTCAGCCATTCTTTCAGGCCTGTCGCCGTGCGTTGCGCGCCGGCGACGCGGCGAGCGTCCCGCTCCAAAAACGTGGGCCTTTTACAGGCCCC